CACCATTGCCGCCGCCACCACCACAGCAACATGCAGCCAGCGTCACCTCCTCCTCCTCCTCCACCACGGTCCCAATGCCAGTATCCTCCCAGAAGAGAAAGCGAGATGAGGAGAAAGATTCATCAGCTTCCAAGTCTAAGAAAAAGAAAATGATTTCTACTACCTCAAAGGAAACAAAGAAGGACACAAAGCTTTACTGCATCTGTAAAACGCCTTACGATGAGTCTAAGTGAGTAGCGAACGCCACAGCCTTTTACTGTGTGTTCTTAGCTGTAGGTTTAGTATGTAGCTGTTAGTGCAAGGTAGTTCTAGAATTGGAGATAGAGTATCAGGTGTTATTGCAGTGATCACTAAGGTATAAAGAATAAAGTCTGTTTTCCACTAGCAGTTACAAAAGTATTAACATACTCGATTTATACTATTAATGTACGCAGTTTATATTTTTACTTGTTTGCATGTTTCCATTGTATGACCTTTCTGTCTCACATGCACATACTCTTTTTTCTTTTTTCCTCCGCTCTGTTATTCTTTCTTTTGCCGTTTTGCCTCTGCCTCGGAAGCAAGTGACAAGTTGGTTTGAGCAATTTCTTGTGAACAAGTAGCTGATGTTCCTTTAGAAATAGTTTTGGTACCGTTTCCCAATAAATGACCTTTTTTTTTTTTTTTTTTTTTTTTGGTAAGTCAATAGCCAATAGAGGGGGTTCCAAGTTACCAGACTGCAGTTCACTTTGGACAATGTTTCCACTAGCAATGGTTTCAATGTGTTATAATTTATATCCCAGGGTGAATAAAAAATGAATATGTAAGCATTTGACAAAGTGAAAACTGCACTTTTCTGTAGTTTGATTCTGACTGTGAATAAGGAGAAATATTTATGCTACGTACAAAGTTTGTGAAGAAATTTAGTAAGTGGTGGAGCAGAAGTGGATTGCAAGGGGATAGCATTATGCATTCCTAAAAATAAGCTAGAAGTGACTAACATCAGTAGTTAGTAATGGTTAACATCTGATAGCTGTGTAGAGATGGGTGTAAAATAAATTTGGCTTCAGAGCAATTCCAAGTGAGTATGTATCTGTTCAACAAGTGACAATACCAAAAAGTATTAATTGGTGCTATTTGGTGGTGGTTTAAAAGCTGGTAACAGAAAGAAACAGTAGAGGTGGAGTAGTGCTTTTGCTGCAGTAATGGTCTTTCATTCCAAATTTAGGGCCAGCACTAGAGGATCGCTTGAGGTTCCTTCTAGCCTTTTTGGTTATTAACTACTGGGTTTTTTTAAATGAATTTGAGGTCTTTGGTGTTTTCTCACTTTGGTTGTCCAGTAGCTCTGACCATTATATCAGTGTGAGAAATTGGACTGCGCTCTCTGCCATCCCTGCAGAAATAGTGGGCTTCTGATGCCCTGGTTGTTAATTCACTATTGCTTCCAAGGGACGTCCCCTATCTCACTTCAAGTAAGAATGTTGCATCAGGCTTTCTGTCATCCAGTAAACTTAGGAGGATACCCTGATCTCATTTTGTTGTGACACCAACCAACGGTCTGTGTATTACTGCTTCTATTGTTAGTAAGCAATAGAACTGTCACAAAAATGAGACAAGATGAACAAATTCTGTGAGCGAAAGAATTTGATTGTCAGACTAACTCTTTCTGTTGGCTCCAGTGGGCATTTGAGTAAGCCGATGAAAAATGTGGTCATAGAGTGAATTTTGTAGCCCGAATCAAGAACTGTGCTTAAATGCATGGCATGACACGTCAAGAAAATGAATAACTAACTTAGTCTCCTTAGCAATATGATTCAATTCTGCTGCTTTTCTTTTTGTGAATTCTGAATTTTATGTTCTTACAAATGATGACTCTACTGTTGAAGTACATTATCCTTTCACTATTTGGAAAGAGATTAGTCAAGTTTTAAAACAGTTTTCTGGTAAGCATTTTATTTTCATATATATATAGGCATCAGGTACTCCTCTTCATGCTGGTGTCTCTTTTCGACTTCCGAAAAAATAGATGTGCTGCTTGAAAAGCTAATTTGTGGTATATTATGAATACCCTATGCATTTTTTAGGATGTAGTAAATCCTCAAAGGTCATTCAGTGCTGTGTATTTTACTGCAAATCTCTTATGTTTAGTTCTCATTTGTGACACCCCAGGGTTGTAGGGATTTGCTCATACTGTTTTCGAGGATGGTCAGTAAGGGTATCCTTCTAAGATTCCTACTTAGATTTCAACTTACTTGTTAAAGCATCATGTGACACCTGTTCCGCATTCCAGCAGCAAGGCTTAGCATCTACACGTAGACATAAATGTGCGTCCAGATCGCCAGGAGCAGGCAGACACAGTCCCTCTTGGGAAGAGGATACAGGCTGCATCATGGTTGATAGTTGTCAGAAGGAGCTATAGCTGCCCATTCTTTACAGAAGCTTGGGGTGTGTGATGCTTTTTTTTTAGGATTTTTCTAACTGAAAATTAAGAGAAAAGGCAGGATCTGAGTATCTGGGATGTATGCAGAGGCCCAGGAAATGAGAGATGCTTGTTCTGTGGAACACCTGCTAGCTACTGTCCTGTTGCAAGTGTGTTCTGTCGGGTGCGTGGTGCTTGCAGACTGACAAACGAGGATGGCAGAATTCATACAGCAGCACGTGGCAGGTGGTTGGCTGTCTCGGAAATCTAGGAAGATCAAGGTTCTGAGTCAGCTTGCTTTTGCTTAGGCAGAGAGAATGGATGTGTAACTTCGCCCATCTGGTTGATTGTCACTAGTCATAGGTATGTTTTGAGATATCCATACACAAAATGTCAAACATCCTTGCATAATATTTTACAGTTTTGTCACATCATTCTGTGCAAGGTCCCATTCACATGATTCTGTACCTGGTTCCCTTCACTTCGTGTCATACCATATCTGGTTCCGTCACATAGCCGTGTCTGAGAGTAGACATTGTTCTCTGAAAAACGGTCCACATTCCAATTTGTTGCAATTTTGAGTAGTTTAATATCTGTTTTTCAGTGCCCCCACTTTCCCCCCCAAAAGATAAAATTGACAACCATGTCCTGACCCGATTTTCTTTCATATCATGTTATACCAATATGTATTCTACACATGGCTGGTATGCATGTTCTTCGTAGTATACTTGTAACTCCTAGTTGGTGTTTGCGCTTTGCTTTTGTTTTTTTTAAATTAACTGAGACCTACATTTTCAAATCTTAAAGATATGTTTCAGTGGCTTATGAGCTACGGTTTTGAAAATGTAAATCTTTTTCTTTGGCCTTGTCTTTTTGTGCCTTTTACAGTTTTTCACACACACATTGGAGACATACATTTTTAGCCCAGTTTTGTCAAAGTCTGGTTACATATTGATGTGCATTTTAATGAACTGTCAATTTAAGATTGACCCAAGTGACCTTACTGACAGTATAGCCGCAGCATGAGATAGTCTGTAAGGCTAGAATGCTAGGAAGCAGGGAAACTGAGACAGAAAACTGAAGAAAGTAGGCCAGCGAGAAAGTGCATCAGAGAGAAATGCAGGGAAAAGTGCCATGCCATTTGAAATGACAATTACATTGTCATTTTCATTGTGAATGCTTTTAGGTTCTATATTGGCTGTGATCTTTGTACTAACTGGTATCATGGAGAATGTGTTGGCATCACAGAAAAGGAGGCTAAGAAAATGGATGTGTACATCTGTAATGATTGTAAACGGGCACAAGAGGGCAGCAGTGAGGAATTGTACTGTATCTGCAGAACACCTTATGATGAGTCACAGTGAGTTCTGATAAGAACCTCTTATTTAATGTTTAGGTAGCAAACTGCTCTGACTGTGGTTACCTGTTCCTTGCAAAGAAAAAAAAGAAGTTATTCTGCATATGTTGTATTCATTCGTAATACAAATTGCTTTTCAGTAATTGTCTTCCTCTTCAAAAATGTTTCTGTACAGTAAATGTTTAGGAAAAGTGAAGTTTTCAGGGTGGTCAAAATGTGTTGGGGTTGTTTTGTTTAAAAAAAAAAAAAAAAAGACACCATGTACTTTAAATTGGGATTAATTTTAATTTTTTTCCTTTTTTTTTTTTTAAACAAAGGAGAATTAGAAGGCTTAAAAGACAAACATAGTATTTAGTGGATTTTTTTTGTGCTTTAGTCTGATCTGGATAGAAAGCATAACTTGAGTATGGGGGTATATGGTTGGTATGTCTTTCTGTAAGGCTTTGTGTCATAGAATACCCCTTCTGTATTCAAGTACAAGACTGAAGCTCCTATATGAAAAATGTTTGTACAGAGTGAAACAAGAGCCCTAGCTGTAGTCCAGTTTGTGTAAAATGTATATTGAATTGTTTTGGAATACTGGTTGGGTGAGACTTCTGGCATTATACTGTTGCTTTCAACTCTAAAGCAGAGGAATGATTTTTGAAATCTTGATTGCTTGAAAGTGCCTAGTATCAAATTTAGAGACTAATTTTGAAATGGTCTGTAATTTAGCCTGTTTGTAAATACAAAAGCAGTTTGAGTAGCGTAATTAGAATTTGTCAGTCTGAAATACTACGTTACACTGTTGTATTTAATCATGCCAAGTATCTGCTTGTGTGCAGGGGATTGCAGGTTTATGTATTTAAATGTAACCTTTAAATAAATAGATCAAGTCACTAACATTTTTTTGGATCTTGCAGATTTTACATTGGCTGCGACCGATGTCAGAACTGGTATCATGGGCGCTGTGTTGGCATTTTACAAAGTGAGGCAGATCTCATTGATGAATACGTATGTCCACAATGTCAGTCCACAGAAGATGCCATGACTGTACTCAGTCCACTAACTGATAAAGATTATGAAGGTTTAAGAAGAGTACTACGTTCCTTACAGGTGAGAATAAGGATTGCACTAAAGTGCTTTAATGTATAGGACATACCATCTGAGTCTTGGAGTAGGTTTTGATTTCTCTTCCAGTTGTTTGAGACTTTTAAAAAAGGAAATAGCAAAGTGCTGTTTTTTTTTTTTATTGGTGAGAAATGCCGCTTTGTCATGATCAAACTTGACTGGCATTTACAATAATTTGACATTTACAATAATTAGGATATCACTGCTTCTGAGTTAGTGAAACTAAACAATGTGTTCCATGGCAGGCTTTTAAAGGAAGCAGGGTTACTTGGAATACCCAAAGGCAGAGCAGTCACCTAACTGCATGGGATGTAGAAATTGCCATGTTCTGTTCTCGGATTAGTTGTATGTGATTGCTGATCTACGCGTCTGTACTTTAATCTCAGAGTTACTAATTTCAATAGTGTTCTCAGCACGTTATTACCAGCATGTGAACAATGGCATCCTGATAACAAGAATCACATCACAGTCTGTTACAGTGTATTTCTAGTTTATCTGTCACTCCCAAATATAATTTCTGCTCTAACTGTAAAGAATTTTCAAGAATTTTAATAAAATAATTGTGTGGTAGCAGAGATCCTCAGCAAGTAATATTTTGTATAGTTCTACATTTTACAGACATGTATGAAAACAAATTAATTTCAGAGTACTTGGAACGTGAAAGCAGTGGGCCATTTCTAGGTGTGAATTGCCACGTGCTCTCAGTAAATTCATGACGTACTTTCCTAGGCAGCCTGTTTAGCACAGAATCCCCTTATGTCTGAATTTCACGTTTTCCTGTTTTGTAGACCAACTACTCAGTCATTGACATTGAGCTTTAAAACTTTACCCAGTCGCCAGATGAGAACTAGTTACCTTTTCATACAATGCTGCACTTCTTCCTTAAATTCAGTTCTAGACCCCAACAGATAAAAGTGTAATGAAAACATTTAGCTACTAAATGGTGCTAATTTCACTTAATTGTGTTTTGTAATTATGTTGTGTTTTCCTGACAGGCTCACAAGATGGCATGGCCATTCCTAGAACCAGTAGACCCCAACGATGCACCAGATTATTATGGTGTTATTAAAGAACCAATGGGTAAGTGTTCCTGAGCAATAGCGTGAGTGAGTGGACTTGGGTCTTTGTATAGCAAATTAATTACCTGTTGACCGTTTCCATCCAGGGATCTTTAAAGCTGTGTTTTCCAGAACACAGGGCTTTTGCAGTTAGGCACACAAGACAATGTGATTTTTTCATTGATATATTCAGAAGTTCATGAGGGTTAATATATCTACTTCTAGGCTGAGTCCTTAACACTAAATACTGTCAGTCTAACATATAAAATGTGAAATTCAGTGCAGCAGTAGGACAGAATTCTTGGGGTTTAATTACTTTTTTTCAAGAGGACAGTTTTGCTGTGTTTTGCTTTGCTTGGTTTTTTTTCTGCCTCAGTTCCTCCTACAAAGCGTGGGGTATGTACTCTAGAGCTTGAGGAGGAAGTGGTGCTAATACAGTTACATGTGACATGCAGCTTAAGATGGAGTTGGAAATTATCTGATTTGAGAGTATACTAAATTTCTTATTATATGTAATTAGTCTTTAAAGCTCTAAGAACAAGAACTGTCTCATGTTGTATATGTGGGGCAAGGTGGAAGAGGAGATGCTGCAGCTTTACTGTTTTACTCTGGTCTTATTAGACTTGACCAGTCAGCTAGGAATAAGTTTAGATCTACACTGAGTGTGAAACCTCTCAGGAAAATCTACCTCCTGCAAGACACGGTTATTCCTTTCCTTCCAGTTATCAAAGCAATACCTTTTCATATGTCTAAATGAGAGTTAGTCTAACGTTTGAGCTTTCCCGCCTGCTCCTCACTGACCCTAGAAATAGGAAAGTTAAACTTAGTATCTTGGCAAAATTGCAGTATGTTGACTGTAAATAATACTTTGCTTAGAAATCATGTCCTTTTTTGTTCCAAAGTTTTGGATTGTGCTGTTATGAAAATAGTAAACAACTACTGTTCTATCATTGGTGGGTTAAAGTTTATAAGGAAAGCTCAAATAATAATATAATAATTAATTCAATATGATTGAATGGGAAAAAAAAGTGCATTTAGCCCATTCTGACTTAACTAGCAGGAAAACACACTTGTAAGTATACGAGTAAATATGTGTAAAATACACTGGGTAATCCAGCCCCATCTATGTTTGTTTTCACACATTCTGGCATTACTGACATTTCAAAGTAAGCACTTTAAGGGCATTTTCCAATGGCAGGTCATTGTTTTTCCAGCTAAAAGTGCCACTGTACGTTTAGACAGCTATATTTATAATCGGCAGTTCTCATTCCTCTCCCTCTTTTTAATTTACATTTGCATTACAATAGGACAATTACTGCTTACTTCACCATTCCAGTCTCATTAACGTGTCTAGTCAGTACAAATGAGAGCCACAAGCACTTTGCATGGTCCTGCACTTGAAATCTTTCATCTCTGCCATGTGGTAGTGTGCACATGCCCGTGCAAATTGATGATTCATTCAAAGCAAGTCATGAATTCAAATAGAAAATGATCAGAAGGTTTAGATAGCTGTTACATGTATACATATGACTCTGTTTCAGTGGGGGCTGTAAAAAAAATAAAATACAAGTAACTGAATCCCAATTATCTGACATTTTTTTCCATAATTTCCTCAGAAAAAGCAAATAGTTCCCTGCAAAGACTCAAGTTTTCCAAGGTCACTTTGATACTCGCATTTTAATTTAGCTGCGCATGACATACTCATGCATAAGTGTTTATTCTGAAGGAGACCTGCTGGTGTCACCACCTCAACAACCAGCATTCCTGGAAAAGCAGCTAACCTAGACAGGCTTTGTTTCCCACAATGTGAACTTCTGCTGGGGATGAAAATGTCTGATTTTAATAATCTTTGGTTTCTTTAAAGACCTTGCCACCATGGAAGAAAGAATACTGAAACGTTACTACAAAAAGGTCACGGAGTTTGTGGCAGATATGACCAAAATTTTTGATAACTGTCGTTACTACAATCCAAGTGACTCCCCTTTTTACCAATGTGCAGAAGTTCTTGAATCATTCTTTGTACAGAAACTAAAAGGATTTAAGGCAAGCAGGTAAGCTAAAGTCTTCCTAATCATAGATGTTCTGTTGTCCTCTAAAATCTCCTTACTGCTTTAAAAGCTTACCTTGCGTTCATACAGGGATTTGCCTCTCCGTGCACTTTCCTGGACAACTGCTGTTCTTTTAAAGGAAAACCAAATCTGTTCTATAATAGCCAGCTATCATTTTCTGTCAAAATTAAGGCTTAAATATGATTTTGTGGAGGTTACTTTGTAATGTTTGTTCAAAATGAGCTGTTAGATGCAAATTTGGGCAGCATCATAAATGTAGAAAATTTGAATGACACTTCAAGTCATTGCTGCAGAGAACTTGATGAGAGTAATTTCTGATCAGGACAAATACAGTGTTCTGAGTTCTGATAATGCTCTACTGCACAGTAAATACTTTTCAGATGCTAAAAAGAGACAGTCCTTCTGTGAAGCTTATAATCCAATGAAAGAAGTTAAAATGCTTTAGTTTTTACTACTTCTCTCATCTTTTTGTAACTTACCATATTTGAAACAGAGGGAATAAGTAAGTTTTAAAGTAGGGTATGGGAAAACTAAACAGCATTCAAAATTTACTATTTAAAAATCAGACTTTCTGTTTTTTAATGTTTTTCTGTAGAAGGATCAATGTAGAATATTTCCCTAACACAGACATTCCTGAAAAAAATAGGCAACTCTACTACAGTTTTTTTCTGTTGTTGATTCTGCCTAGTAACACGTGCATGGGAGTTCTATGGCACTAGTCAAATTATCACCTGGGATTTCCTACAACTGTTCCTAAACCCAGCTTACTCAAAACACTAACGGAATATACAGACTTCTCCTCTGTCACTGCTGTACTCCAACAGGAGCCAACTTTAACCAAGTTACAAATGTTGGATGCCTTTCAGCGTTACTCAGAAATTGTCTATGTGTAGTAGTTAACTTTGTCCATCTGACTGTAACAGTCAAAACTATAACAGACTGCTAGTCTAAGACATTCATGCAGGATTATATCAATTTGTAATGAACTAAATTGAAAGCTTCACTTTATATCTGTTGTTGTGGAAGCTGTCTGATTTTCATAGAATCATAGAATGGTTTGGGTTGGAAGGGACCTCAGAGATCATTTAGTTCCAACCCTCCTGCCATGGGCAGGGACACCCTCCACTAGAGCAGGTTGCCCAAAGCCCCATCCAGCCTGGCCTTGAGCACTTCCAGGGATGGGGCCTTTTCTGTATGCACCGAGAGTAGGACTGATAAGAAGGGATGAGATCAAATGAATTAGTCCAGCATTTTTCTTTCCAGTGTCATACCGTATTGATGATTTTTATCGGGTAGTTTTCAACTCATGTTTCTGTCATCTTGCTGTAGCTGGTTATCCAGCAGTCACTGCTTGCACACTAATTTCATTGCTGCATCTTATTTGTTATTGTTTTTCATTTATACCATCCATGTTCTTTCTTTTCTTGCAGATTGTGATATCTTTAGTCTGAACTTTTAAACTGGAATCAGAACTGGATGTTGGGGTCACTTTCTTTTATTGTACAATTCGATGACATTAAACTGCCCTAAAAATCCAGATCATTTGTCTAAATGTTGTTGGGTTTTTGTTTTTTGTTACCAGCAGCCATGCTGGTAAACATAACTGTATTAACAAAAAAATTGTCCCATTCCTCGAATACTGTATTGAGAAAAATGAAAAATTCATCTTGGAAACCATGTATTTTATTGTTTTATTTTCGGTCACTAATAAAACTGTGAATGTCAAAGAGGAGTTTTGCTGAACTCTGATTAGCAAAAATGTGATTTTTAACATGCCTGTTCAGGTTTTTTTATTAAGTTAATCCCAAGCCTTCTTGGTAAATTGAAGCAAAGTATACCTTATACATATTCACAATTAAAAATGTCTTTTTGCTTTCCTTTTGATGGACTACTATTATGTAAATATGAGAGTAAAACTGATTTCAGGCATTTTGGAATATTCCAGTGACACACTGCATTTTACAAGTACTGAAATATTTGTATACGGTAGGAGAAAATGTGCTTAAAATTCAGAGAGAATTATTTTAAGTGTTCTTTTTTCTGAAGGGGGAAAAATTAAATGGAAGCAGCATGGTGGTAAGTCCCTCGCTGTGATTTACCCTTGGCAAGACCTTGCAGCAACTGTGTTCTCCAAAACGAAGGGTGCTTAATTCTTCACTTTCTTCTGTATTCTGCAGGTCCCATAACAACAAACTGCAGTCTACAGCTTCTTAGAGTTCAGCGTGTTAACCTAACACACGAGCAAGAATCTGGTTGTCTGAAAATTTTTAATTAAGAAGCCAGATGTTTTTAGTCAGGTTATCCTGACAAGACTTGATGTAAACTGCGTTTTTATTGGTCACAACAGTCAAATTCTATTCTTGGCTTATTTTGTCCAAAGGACAAAGAAATAAAAATCAGCAGCACCACTTTCTTGTCAAGATCAAATTGTTGTACTATTGTGGCAGGAAGCAGGAAAACTTTGTTTTGTTGAAGGAGAGAGAAAGAGAGCAAGAAAACAGATACAGTAAATGGGGTCACGTTTAACTCCATGGAAATGCCACGTCTGTTCTTCAGTGAAGAAGCTGGTTTAAAGTCCACACAGAAAACTTTGACTGTATTTATTTATTGTTGCAAAAAAGACGCTTTTTTATTGCTGCCCTCATTTGTCAGCTAATTATTTTTTCTTATAAAATCCAGCCCCGGTTACATGTAATCCATTCTGTATCTTAACATGATTCCTGTAGGTAAAAGTACAAGAAGACCTCTAGATGTCTTTTCTTTCTATGAAAGGAGCTGCTATGTACACATGTGCACACACACAGAACTGGGAATCAACAATGAGTTTATCATTCATGGTAGATAAAAACAATTAAGCTTGCATAAAAGTTGGGCTAAGTGGTCATGGACTACAGACTCTGTTGCCTTGAATATAACAGTACAATTTGTCATTTACTCTGCACCAGACTGAAATGAGTAAAATCTATTTGAAGGTATCTTGTTTGTAAACATTTGTCAGATTCTAATTTTTTTCTTTTGTATTAAAATTCAAAATATGGATGTATATGAAACAAAATAAATGGAGATAATTGTTCTCCCCACAGACGTAGGTGTCTTTGAGTGTGCGCTAATACGTTTGTAACACTTTGGGGATCTGTTCGGATATTTCAAGTAAGAGGGGAGGGAAGTGGCCAAGGAAGATCTGACTTGATTTTGCTCCAAAGGTAGCGTTTAGTACCTTTCATTCTTAAGCAGCTGTTATCCCTTTATAAAATTACTACAATGGTGCCAAAATTGTTGTAACAGATAAGGTGGTAGGAAGGATTTTGTGAAATGTCACTGCCCACCGCTGAATTAAGTGATATTTTGCCAAGTACCCTAGGAATGTAAAGTGTAATTGTATCTGCGAAAGGCATTCTGGACTGCTTCGTGGTTTCCTGTGTGAGGAGCACTACAGTGAGGGATAAATTGAAGTCGCAAGAAGATGCAAATTGCAGATGACGTTGCCATTTCTTTCCGATCTATCACTTTTTGCGTTGCCTATATAAATGACTTGCTCACGTGACCTGTCTGTAGTTCTCAGCCATGGTTTGTACGCAGCTCTTCAACCAACTTTAGCTTTTGCACTAATTCACAGTTAACTTCTGTTCTACACAGCGATCTGGGCTTTACCCAACGTATGGACAAGCTCCTTTTGGGTTTAACCTCACACCTTGCTATGCAAGAACCTCTTCTGTTATTTTTCTTAAAAAGATGTTGCTACTGACCACACTTTCTTACACTTACAGGCTCAGGTGTACAGGTTCTTCTGGGATAATTTTATCTAATAAAACCAGTGGGGGGTTTTGTACATACAAATGTTGTCATTTAACCTATATGTGAAAATTAAAAATAATTGTTCAATGTGAAAACAATAATCCATTTATGCTTTTTAAAGTTAAAGAAGAGTTAGCGTTTAGATTATGTTGTCCTTTGACTTTTAAAAAAAATGCTGCACATTGTATGCATTGTGTTTTTAATGCAAAAAGGAAAAACTTTTAACAGCATTTGAACATATCCTGCATCTCATCAAAACTTCACAGTATTTCTGTACTATTTATTCATCTAAAAATATATATATGACATCGTTTAAAACTTTCCTACCTGTAGGCAATAGATTGCTATGCTTTTAACAAATTGTGGCAAACTGAAGAGTACTTTTTTGTACCTTATAGGACACATCATCCTAGACAAATAAAGTAATGTGTTTGACATTGATTTGGTGGTGTTTCTAATGAAACATGTGACAGTGGTATCATATGTAGGTCTTGGCTTTGCCAGATCAGATATAATTGCCAGTGAATTGGGTCGATTAGGGAACTAATCCATACATACGTTATAATCTTGCTGTGAGAGCCTTCGTTAGGGGTTTCAATTGCCGCGGAGTAGGCCGAGGTACCTTTCTTGATGCATTAGTGGTGATCTTTTATAGTAAAATGGTGTGACTGAAAATACATAGCTCTTGTCATTAATACCCACCTTCCTTAAAAGCAGGGTAAATTCAGAAGATTTGTGATCCCTGTTCACTCCTCCTCCTCTTTGTATTTTTATGAATTATTCCAACATTTGTTTCAAATGGTTTTATATGGTAACACAAATTTTTATAATAGGAGCTGTACCAGCTTGACTTTCTTTTTGTCTCCTCGAATCTGAAGCAGTTATCCTTGGTCTAGATTTAGTTCATGCAACAGCTGATGGGTATTTAGAGTAAAAATTGGGGCTTCCCCAAAAGCCTTGAGTAAACCGCTGGCAAGACAGGAAGACAACAGTATTCCTGTACTCCTGGATTTCTGTGTATTGGCTGCAGAATTTTCATGCTCATCCTGCTGGGGAAAAATATATTTACTGTAAGGTATTGAAATTACCACGGCAGCTATTGCATGTAAGTGCCATCTTCTCTTTAGCATTGTTAATCCTGTCAGGGTTTTGTAATAGCGAGTGCAAGACTGTGGAAATCCACTTGATGTGGGAATTTTTTCTTCAGTATGTTAGTTAGCACGTGATAAGCCCAGTAAGAAGCAAGAGCAGTAGTTCTGCTCCTGCTCCAGCTGTATTTCAGTTGGGCTGTGAAATACAGTGGCGTGTTGCTCAGCTCTTGAGGTAACATTGCAAGGAGTGACCTTCCGAGCAAGAAAGGAAGGGTAAAATGATTTTGTAATGCAAAAAGAGAACATAGAATCGACTGGTCTTCAGGCTTGCTTCTAGAGCAATAGCTGTACCCAAGAGCAACACAGATGTTGTGTGAGTTACTGGCATTGTACTCGGCTTTGGATGTCATTAGCACTGTATACTATTACTTGCCTCTTCCGAGAGACAATCAAAATGAGATCTAGCTGTGGATGTTATTCTTGTACCCACGCTTCGTCTGGTTTTGATTACAGTAATGTCTTGGGGGCGGGGAAGGGTGCTTAACTGCTGTTCTGGGCAAATGGGTGACTGTAGGACTTGCTGGTTAGTCCCTGGACTTCAGCTGAAAATAGAAACAAACTTGAGATGCACATGTAACCCTTCCTCCTTCCACCTCCTGTCCTCCCGGTCCACACCAGTGCTTTGATTCATTGCCAGGAACAGTCGTTCTGCCAAAGCAAAAGCCCCCTCACAGTCTCAGGAAAATTCCATCTATACATGCTGCGCTCCATGCGAACTCTTCTTTCACATAGCAAAAGTGAGACAGTACATTTTTTAGATAGACACAAGCTATGAGTAAATTTCTGTCCTACAGTAACAGCCTTCTGTGTCCCAAAATATGATGTTGGCTTTTGGTATTCGGTTCCTATTCCATATCAAGAAATACTTCATATGGTGTGACTTATCGCCTGTCCGCTACTCCGCTGCTTCTCAGTGACGCTAACTCAGGCTGCGGACATGTACGAGAGGTAGAACTGTGAGAAAATGACTTCCGCTTCAAAACAGAAAATGCTGAGAGAAGCCACTGCCTCCTGTTCCAGGTCACATCATATGTATCACTGTATGTGTATTCTTTTAAGCTAGACTGCATTTTCACTTTTTTTTCATATAAATATGTATCTTAAAATCCCTGGCCAACTTGTCAAACAAGGAGATGCTATTGTTTAATATCGTTACATAATCTCTCTGTGTCTTCCAGAACCCCACGAACATTTTCTTAAGTTTCTTTAAAAGACTTAGGATTTGTCAATGCTGACTCAGAATAGCAAAAATTAAGATCCCCTTTGCAGAGGTTTCATAGGTTCTTACATCCCACCGCATTAAAGGTACTAAAAGAGTCTATCTTTGAATCAAAAAGTAACTTTACTGATGTGCAAGTACAAACTTGATAATATTTCTCACAGGAAAGCGACATTCAGTACACAGTTCTAGAACTTCTGAGGAACTGACTTGAGGAACTGACATATGGAACGTGCGTGCAATTGCGTGCTTATTTTGCAGTCCTTGGCATGAACTTGGGCTGTTATTTGTAAGCCTAACTGGGCATTTGTGTGGTGCATTATGTGATTTGCTTTCAGTTAGTGTATTCATACGCTCAAATAATTACACAGTTATTTTGTATGCTTCATGTGAAAATCCAGCTGTTTGAAGAATGATGTAATTTTTTTCAAGTGTTATGGACATGTTTGAGGACATCAAAACAATACAAATGATACTTAGTTTTGTTGGGTTCTTTTGAATCAAATTGCATGTATATACTTTAGGCAGAATTGTGTGAAAACAAAGGACATCCTCTACAACTAAAGCTATGGTATCATCTAACATTTCTTCAGGGTTAAGGGTTTGAAAGTGCAGTTTCTTCTTGTGTGCCTGGAACAACGCCTCCAGAATTTTACTTTACAATTACTACAGATTATTAGGGGTACGTTACAGCAGAGGGGGCAATAATAACCTGTGGCTCTGAAAGCAGCTGGAGCAAATTCACGACCAGTTAATGTTCCCTTGACTTTGTGCTAAACTTCACAATATATAGGTACCTAGTCGAAATATTCCGTTCACGTTTGCTAAAGCACAAAACCATGTGTTCTGTTGTAACCAGTTTCAGAGGCGAGGAGAACTACCTCCTGCTGTTGCTAACCCAGGTTTATTCTGGTAGGTGAATTCTGCTGCTGCCCGTGTCCTAGCCAGAGGTTACTGGAGCCTTATCGACACTTAGTGTGAGCCGCTTGCACTTTGCGGTTCCTCTTCCTGTTGAATCTCTTCACATAGCTGCTGCTGCTCCTAAGCAAGCCATCCCCTGGCCTCAGGCGCCCTCGCAGGAACTGCAGCAGGTTTGCAGGGATCTGTCGTCTCTTGTGGTAGATCCAACCCATCACAATGTATCTGCTGCCTGCAAAACAAGCAAGACTTCTGTGCGGTGAAGAAAGTGTGGATTTCTTCACTACGCTTGCTCTAAGGGCAACAGATTTCTGAACAGATGTGAAGACGTACCCTGCAGAAATATTTCCTGAATGTGTGGCTTAGTACAGTGGCACCCTGAACTTCAGTGGGACTTGTGGGTTCTGCTTGCATGGAAATAATGATTTACTGTGTTATATTGCAATTTGAAACTTTTTGGGGGAAATACTGGTATTTGATAAACTTGCATTTAGAAGGAGAACTGTAGAGACATCATCTAAGCTCCTGCTTAAATTTTTTTTTTGCAATCTTGAAAATTCTTGCAATCATTTTGGAACTAGATAAAGTTAAGAAAGGACTATGCTGCTACCTGACAACTTCACGCAGTTGGTTCTCTTCTCAAAGGTTTTAGAGAAACTGGGAAGCAAAAAGCTGTCTAGTTTAAGAGGGGGTTTTTTTGGTGGAGTTTTTTTTTTTCAAATTTTCCTAGCAACCCAGGATAAGCCTATTAAACTAAGGCAGAATAAAATTGCACTGCATGCAGAGGAATAGCGGAATGGATTTAGCTGAAATTATTTACCAAGTTTAAAGTCTGGACACGGTTTACTGCAGTTTAAAGTATCCACAACTAGAATGTGAACTCGAAAGAAGAAGGCATCAGGAGTAATATACAGGCGACTCATCTTGTATAATCCATCGCTGTTTACCAAAAGCGTAATCAAGTGGACTCCATTCCCCAGTCTCTCCATGTTATAAACAAT